TAAAAAAATTTTTTTTTTTTAAAAAACCCCCCCCCCCCCCCCCGGGAATAATCTCAAAATTTAACTTCTCATATGCTTTGATAAGGCTCAACTTTTCACATACTTTAGGTTAAGGTGGGAGATAGACAAAGAGTCATGGGAGGAGAAAGTATTGCAGAAATAGGAGGGAAGGCATATTAATATTATAAGGTGGATGGAGAATTTGAAGAATGTGCATAGAGATATTGACTATATAGAAAGAGGGCAGGCTTGGGAAGTAGGTGGTCTTGTATTGATAGAGACTACAAGAGGAAAATCAGTAGTGAGCACTATTAGCCTTTCCTCCTTTTTCCCACAGCCTCTATAAGCAGTGACAGACTCTAAGATTCTCTGCAGTAATTAGCATTTTCATCAAAAAGTAGGCAGGGGTTTCACTAGGCAGCATGAAGACAAATTAGAGGAATGCATGTGAATACATCACTTTCAGTTGTGTTGCCTAGAGCTTCTGGTTTGGGGGTAGGTTTCTTGTGCTGTTTAAATGTTACACCCTGTGTTCAAACAAGTTAAATTGTAGCATCCTGGTTTGGTGCAGGTTTTGTTTGTTTTCTTTGTTTGTGTATAAGAGGGGAAAATCTCCTACAGGAAGGTAGAAGTGGAGGATTGATACTTTTGGGACAGCTCAAAGATAATTTCATTACAAGGAGTAGAACAGTCGGAATTACGATAATACAAAATAACAACCATAACATGAGCATATAACTGATACAGGTGTAATATGTGTACAGTTCTTAGAAAAAACTCAGAGATAACTGAGGGAAGCCAAATAAGGTCTTGGTTAGTGTTTTCAAAAGCACCCATGAACAAGTTCTACAAATGCATTCAGGCACAACGGAAGCAGTAACAGGACTATCAAAGTTATCTGGGTAACTTAGAAAATTCCACTAGTTTTCTTCTGTAAGTATTTATGTGCCTCTTCCTATCTACCTCTTTGGTGGCACTTACTTTTGAAACTGCAATATTCAGAAGCCCAAATTCTATTAAAGACATTTAACTTCAGTGAGTTAGAGTTTCATAATGCCTTATTTAATTCACTGAAAAAGGATGAAGTTCTCTTAAGACTTTTCAGAACCTGCCTTTCCATTATGTTTGTGTATCCTTGCAGTTGATAGAACTGTTTTGGTGCAGTACGCTGATACTAAAAGGTTGTCTGTGCAAGTACGGTGTGCTGATGGTGGTGGGGAAATCCCTGTGTAGACTATGACTAGGCAGGCAGCTTCCCAGTTAATTTGTTTTGTAACGTTATCTGTTGAAAGCCTTACATGTGGGGAAAGGCGAGACACTTGTAGATATCTCACTACTTATTTTTCTTCTATTAAAAATGTAACAAATGATTTAAGATGACAGGGTACCTAAAATATACTACACACCTCCTTTGGAAATTAATTTCAATTTACATGTGGTCTTTTCTGCAAGGTTATAGAGAAACTGTTCTTCAGACATTGCCCCAGCTAACAGCTCTAGATGGAAGAAATATTTCTGGTGATCCAGTGGACCCAGCAGAAGAAAACTGTTCAGATTTCCAGTGTTTAGAAGACATTTTGGGCTGTTTGGTTTCATATGGGTGCCCCTCATCCAAAGATCAGGTGCCATAGTTTGTGTGTACTGATTTTAAAATTGATACATTTTATTTTTATATTGCATACAACTCAATGTTACAAGGATTGTCTTTCCCTTTGATAGAACTATGTAACCTTACCAGTGGTGACACCACATATTGACCAGGCGTTAGCTCATTTTCATCAACGTACAAGAATACCAGCACAAAGTGCCATCAGCTCCTCTACAGAGATTGTCTCATCTTCAGAACCAGAGAAGGCCGAACTTGATAAAATATACAGTGAGATAAGGATTAAAAAAATAGAAGATCAAATTTCACAGATACTGCAAAAGGTGAATTTTTTTCTGTGATGGCACAGAAAGTTTTGTTTGTAAAAGGAGGTGTACCTTTTGATAATGCAAAAGTTTGCTGGGACAGACTGGAGCATTTCTACTTCTATGTATGTGCTGACTTCATGCTAATGTGTTCTTAATAATTTTGAGAAACTGGGAATAATATAAAAACAAGTCTTTAAAACTGAAGATTGCACTCTGAATCACAAAAACTTTCATACTGAATAAAAATCATAGTGTACAGGACTAGGAGAACTATCTGATCATATTATATTAGAAAATTATTTTCTGTTTTTTACCCTGAAGCTATCAATATAGTAACTGAACCAGAGTAAAATATGAAATGCAGCAAAATATCTGATTATAGAGTTGGTAAAAATTAATTTTGCTAATAGCTGGTCTGATGTGTTTGTCAGGTATGTTTTTGTAACAGTTTGTGGTGTATCTTGCATGTTTGTGAGGCTTTTTTGGTTTTAAGAGCTGTATTTGGTTTACATTTTGCACGAAGTGTCTGCACCTAAGGATTTTACCAAACTTCAGGTATTTCAGGAAGATACAACTATACATTCTCAAGCATGCTGTTCTGTTGGGTTTATTTTATGTTTAAAACAACAGAATGTTTTAGCAAGGAGGGAAGGGGTTCTTTGGAAGCAGTTATTTACTTTTCTAACAAAATTATTTTGTGTGAACTTTTTAAAAATAGCACCCGAATAAGTGTTAGAAATTAGCCAATTAGAAATTGTAAAACGTACAGATAAAGCTTCGATCTGTTCTTAGGTATCTGATGCCTCAAGAAGGGAAGCTCCTCCAAATGTTCTCAAAGCTAAGAGAGACACAGATCCAACTTCTGAGAGTGAAAATGAGAGCGGGAAGGAGAACAACAGAAAGATTGTGAAAAGAAGCAAGATCCCTACTTACCGTAAAACTACCTTATCTACTAGGTATCATGCAAATCATCTTAAGAACAAAGTAACTGACAGGTATCCCAGTGTTTGCCACATAAAGCCGAAATGAATTAAGTTGAATATTGTCAGAGTGAATGTAGTCTGACTTGAAACATTTTGCTGCAAGTGGTTGGGTAAACTAGCTCTGTTAATGCTCTAAAAATTATTAGCTACTGAAGCTTCACTCAGTCATTTCCCTATATGAGCATTTTCTGTCTTTAGGGGAAAAGGAAATTGAACTGAAAATTCCAAAACAAACACTTTCAGAATTCTAACAGCTTATATTTTCATCTTTGTTTTAAATTGTGGTGACAGAATTATTCTCTACAGACGGAAGAATTGAGTCATTAAAAAGTAAAAATTTCATGGTGTCAGAACAATGGTCAAGAATATAACTGACCGTATTTTGTGATGAAACTGAGGATGCCATAGTAATTTGTTTGATTTATATAGTAAATATCAGAAGTGATGAATAGAAGATTATATAAATTGGAATATATTCGTTTACTCAGCCACTACAGCTACTGTGCTTCTCTAACATAGATATGAAACAATGTGATCATAAGATGTTTTTCAGGTAGCATCTACTAGTACTACATTATTTTTTACAGCTGAAGATTTGAATTCACCTGTTTGTTTTATGATCTGATTGCACATTATTTTCTACGTGGTTTTGAACTCTCTACGACTCAGCTTCTACACAGAACTGTAAAACTTTGTCCCTTAAAAGGTGTTTGAATCCCCTGTTATTGTTTAAACTCTGCATATTCATAAATACACCTTGATGTCCTGCTATTATAGGGAAGAGAAGAAAAGTTCCTCAACATGTCCACGCTCCAGTCAGAGAGACTGTCATCTCAATTCATCATCAGATACTCGAGACTTGGAAGTAGTGGGAAGAAAAGCTGAAATATTAACTGGAAGACAGAGCAATATAGAAAAAGTAGAAGAAATTAATTCAAATGCCACAGAAGAAACAACATACCGAGTATGTTTTGCATCATTTCAAGTTAAATATGTCTTCACCTGAAGCCAAGCATATGTCTCCTGGTGAAACTTTAAAATTGGAGGTGACAAAAATAATTGCATGTAGATAGTATCAAAAAATAGCGGAGTTCTTATAGTGTCAGCTGGAAGAGAATTTATTTTCACTTTTATAGGGGTTTTTGACCTGGTTGCTTGCACTTTCCTCTGTCATCCATGAATTCCAGAAAGACAAAAAAAAAAATCTTGCTCTACAATTATGAATATTGTTTGTCATTTTTGGCTACATTTGAATGTTTCCTAGTAAGTTGATTCTTACCACGTTCTTGCTAAAGGCGCTGATTCAAGAACTGGATCAGGAGAAAGAAAGGAGATGGAAAGCAGAGCAAGCAGAGAAGAAATTAATAGAGCATGTCAGAGAGCTACAGAAGCATGCAAAAGAAGAAAAGAATATTCAAAGTATGGCTGTATACACTACAAACAGGTAGGGAGAATGCTGTAGTATAAGAGTTTGTTTTGGGTTTTTTTCATTTAAGACAATTCAGCTTACAGGCTTAAGAAATGAGAATAGCTTTAAACAATGTACTTGGAAAAGAAAATAACACATCAAGCAGCAGTGCCAGAATTTCTTTCACTATTACCTAAAGAAATTCCTTTCTGCAGCTCTACAGCTTTCTTCCTGTTCTTTTCTCAGGACAGTATGTGTCACTTACCTCCATTTCTAGCCATTACTTTCCAAGGAATCTGTGTAATTGTACTTTGTCTTTCAGCTCAAGCTCTACTAGCTGTCTCCTACCATATTTTCAGCTTCCAATTCCCAATCTCCCTTTCCACCTATACACACAGCGTTCTTTTTTTTTTCCTGTGCGGTGCACTTGAACAAAGATGTTTCTGGCAGACCAGAGTTAGCCAATAGGCAATACGTTGCGTAGGTCAGGCCTAGCATGTCTTCCTAATAGACTGCTGTTGCCATCCTTTTAAGTTCTGAGCAGCATCCTTCCCCCCCCGCCTCAAAAAAAAGGTTCTCCCTTCTAACAAAGCATTGTTTATTGTCAGCTATGATTGGAGATGTCTGCTTTATTTGTCTCTCTTAACTGCATTGTATTTATCAAAGACACACTTCCTTTCTTATAAGGAAGAAACAAGACAAGTGCTTCCTGAGTTACCATCCATGACTGACTGTGATTATTTCCCTGGGTTTTTTTTTCCTTTTTGTTCTAGGTTTACTTCCCACCTTTATTTGCTACCACCTTGGATAAGAGGCTTATTATGTTTCTTTTCTTTTGAGATAGATGTTACATCAAAAATTATTAGAATATTTACGGATATTGCAAAGTTTTCTGAAGAAAATTATTAAATTCTAAATTTATGAGTTGTTCAACTTCTGTGTAAAGCAAAATGATTCTGGAATGTCATTTTCTTAAAGACCTACCTATGAGGTTGTCTCCAGCTTAGTTGCTTTTAAAATGAAGCTCCGTATAGTAATGCTACACATGACTTTGGTAGTATTTTATGTTTTTTTAAACGGTTTTACGTGACAGTGCTGTAAATAGTAAGACCCAGCAAAGAACAAGATACAGTGCTACAATGCTTACTAATGTCTTTTTCTCAAGGTGTTTGGCATCAAACTAAATACTAAAATGTTTGTACTACAACTTTATTTTAATTATTCTCAGGTTAAAGGAATTGATATTGAAAGAGAGAGATGTTAAAACAAGACTGCAAGCGGATGTCCAACAGTTGAAGGGTGAAACTGAAAGACTTACTAATGAGTTAAATCAGTCAAGAAATAAAGAAGCAGAACATCAGAAGGCCATCCAAGCTTTAGAAGAAACACTATCCAAGATGGAGACACAGAGATTGCAACAACGAACAACAGAGGTAACTATCTTTCATGAGTAAATACTACAATGGCAACAGGATGACTACTGTAGTCCTAGATATTAAGAAACACTAGATTTTACAAGCCTTAAGCCTGAGTTTTCCACAATAAAAGCTGGGGCTTTTTTTCTACATAGTAGTAGTTAATAACAAGTATCCTTTTTAATTGTCAGTGAATGTCTTTTATAAATAGAAGTATGTAATGCGATTTGGCATTAAGATAAAGGAGAACAAGTCCTATGTACTTAACACTGAGAGTTGATATTTTCTGAAAATGTACAGTAACAAAGACAATTTTTCTGAAATGTTGCTGAAATCAAGGATTTTTCTAGCGAGATGGAAATCTGGTGTTTCTGTTTGTTTTGCTGATTTGAAGAATTAGATGCTTTTAATTGCAACCAGAACAAAACAGTAATTGCTGAGAACTTAAAGATTCTGGTGGTTTGGGGGTTGTTTGCTTGGGATTTTTTTGGTTTTGTTTTTACAGCTGGAGAAGATGATGCTTTTGTTGTCAAAGGCACTTTGTTCTGTACACAAATACATAATATCAAGATGCTGGACCAGATACTGCCACTGTTTCTGACAATAATTGGTGAATTTTCAGTGGCCAACTGCTGCATCCTCCAATATCTATTCCTATTGTTTGATTATATTCCTGTATCAGCCCATTTCTGTGTCACTGAACACATCCACTTACAGAAATTGAATCTGAATATATGCATCCTGAAAAGTCTGAACTGCTAGTATGGTGCTTTAGGGTATGTCATCACTCGGATACTCTAAAAGGAAACAGAGTTGGGGAGTGTACTGACAGCCTAACTGCAAGTGCCATTTAAGTTATGGATTAACCACCCTCCACTTTAGGCTCCTATTTAGACACCTGAGTGGCTCTTCCATTTTTTTTCCTTACCTGTAAATACCCTGGAGCTATTATGGATCCAGAAGTGACCTTCAGTTTACATCATGTGTCTGCTTGTCACCTTGAAAAGCACTAAATTTAGTGATTTACAGAAGTTGTTGGGGTTTTTGTTTTATTTTTTTCTTTTCCTATAAGAAAGGAAGTACCTATTGGTGTATGAGGCTTTTATTTTTCCTTTAATGAGTTTATAGAAATAAGTAAACTCTCTTGATGATAGTAGCATCATTTTTATCCACTGCAAAACTTAAGGGAGGGTCTTTGCTCCTGACTTTAAGATCTTGTAGCAAATACTCTTTAATAATTATGTTTCAAAGAATAATCATCATGCTGTAGAAACTAAATGCTCTTTTTGAATGTTCAGATTTAATATACCTTTGGCCTATTATCAACTCAAAGATTAACAAATTCTAGCATATTTTATAGAGCTTTCTCATTGTACATACTGGCAATTACCTTCAGTGGTAAATTATGGCTACTCTAGCTAGTAACTCTTAAGAATTTCAGTCAACATTACTAGATTACTTTAAGGGATTCAAGATAAGTTACTATGCAAATAAGTCAAGTTACTATGCATCTAAATGTGTACCCTATTTTCTAGCAGTCTTTACACTTGCATGTGTTCTCACTTGAAATTTTTGGGTTTAAGTGCTTCAATTTAGGAGAGAATTGCTTCACTTCATCCACAAAACAACAGGAATACAGCGAGGTGCATCCAAATGTTACTCATGAAGAGGCTTAACATGTAGAACATAAGAACTTAGCTTCATACTCAAGCCTCACAACAATTTTCATACAACTGAAGTTACTGTATGAACTACTGTATGGCATTCTCAAGCTGGAACTCATAACATGCAGCAGCACTTATGTGTCTTAAGGGACACTGCAGGAGATGATAAACATTGGAATGTTTTATTTCTCAGTGCAGGACATTCCATACAGCTGTTCCTTAACTTTTTTTTTTTGTTTTGATTGCTTGTTCAAAAATCAAGTTGAGGGGATTGTTGTGATGGAATTCTGAAATAAAACAGGCTTGGGAAATTTTTTTTTGGTCTTTTGTTTTGTGGGGTTTGGGGATTTTTTGTTTGTTTTCTTGTGAGAGAAAGTAAACTGGTTTGTGTTCTCGCTCTGCCATTAGATAACTGACACTTAGAGTAATCTTGAGTACTCCATTAACCATTCACAGATTTGATACTCTGGAAAGCAAAGAGATTAGAATTGTGTAAGTACAGAATGTGGAGACCCTTTGCTTTGCTTAGGAGGACAGATTGACAAGATAAGTTGTTGCTGCTCACTGATTGAGCACAAAAGGCAATCCTTGATGAATGCTACAAATAATGATTAGGAGTAAGAATATCTCCATTGACGTTGACTCTGCTATTTCTGTTGCATGTTCTAACTTGCAGCCTTCTGAAGTGTCTTGATTCTGAATTACCATTTCATGAGTAATTAAAACCTTTTTTTATAGCTTTTTTCATATAATTTTCTTCCTACTTGTTGAGTCAGAAAAGACAGCTTTGTATGTAAAAGGCTTAAGATTATAAAATGGAATTACTCATAAAAGCTTGCATCGCGTATGCTACCTGGTGTTTATATTGATTCTCCACTTTTTGTAAAATCATTAGAAAGCAGCTCTGTTCAGCAACTTTAAACTGTAAAACTCTGAAAGATACATTTTTCTGTAACTGGAGTGTTGAAACAAGAAAGTTATATTGAATACCTCTAAAAATGTTTTGCTTGAAACTAATACAAGTATTACAATACAAGAGTTTGTAATTGAGAAAATCATTCTGCCAATATACTTTTTTGACTTCTGCAGGACACTTTCAGGTTCTTTATAGATGAAGTAAATGTCCTTGGTTCTTCATGAAAGTTGCTTTGTGTTGTAAGTTAAGCTAAAACTTAATTTTAAACATCTTGTCTTAAATTTCTGCAAGTGTAACAAAATATATTAAGTTTAAAAAAAAAAAAACACCAAAAAAACCTTCCTTTGTCTTGGACTAGGTAACATAATAAAATTCCATAAAATTTTGTGAAAAATACTGAGAATTGTGGAGCTTGCTGTAAACATAATGGCCCACATAGACATGTATAAAACTGTATTAAAGCACCTGTTCCTTTGTATTCTAGTGTAAGACATGAAGAATAAGTTACAGTTTCAAGAAAATCTTATTCCTCTTTATGAATTCTACACAGATGAAACAGGTGCAAGAAGCAGAGCTTAGAGCATCAGCAAATGAAAGAGAAGTACAGTTACTTCGAATATCCTTCCGACAACAGAAGGAGAAGGTAAAACAACTACATGAACTTCTTGTATTAAGAGAGCAAGAGCAAAGGTATGGGGTTTTCTATTTTCTTTTCACAAGTTAATAGAGATGCTAGTGTTGCAAACATTTTTTTTTGTTTAAATGTGTTCTGCAAAGCGTGTGTGGTTTTGTTTTTAATGGGAGAAATGTTCTTTGTAAAAATGTAGACATCTTCTCACCTATTTTCTTGCTCATTTAAGAATATCTTCGTATCTTGTGGGTTCCTGATTCATCAGTTCATGAAGGCAACTGTGTTCTTCTGGCCTTTCATTTGATAGGTTCTTATTATATGGCTGAACTCTTTATTTTAAATACTTGATCTTTAATCCAGGAAATAATCACATAGAAGTAAAATTGCATTCAAATTATTGCCTGAAGATCTGTATAAACTACAATAACACAAAGTGTTCCAAAAAAAGTCAGCTTCTACAGTATCTTTCTTTACGGTATGTGGGTGGCTTGCCTGGATGTTTTCCTCTTTTCGGAGAATACTTGAACATAAGTTCTATACTGTTTAGCTAATACAAATGTGTGTATAAACTAAAGCAACGAGTGGTGTGTGGTATACTAGTATGTGAGGGAAGTTATTAATAAAATAAACTGGTTACATTTGCTAAATTTTACAAGGACAAATGTATTGAGATACTAAGATAACTGCAGGTTTAGATGGGAAGAATCTGATAGCTGTGTCTTGAGAACTTCCAATTATTATCTCATAAATTTCCAAAAGATATAATGAAAAGGGATACATTTTGTGTTTGTGTTTTAAAGCAGATGAACAGAGTAGTCTTAAAGTACAGGGTGCTTTTGCTTCAACATTCTCCTATAGAGATGCTTCCAAACAGGAAGGAAGCTTATCCTGGAACCCTGTAGGTCTCCATTGCTGCTGCTTTTCAGGTTTTGTGTCTGAGTGAGAAGTAACAGGTGTTCAGTGAGGGTGAAGAAAATTACTGCCAAAGAGGGTATGTGGCTATACAGTGCTTTTCCCCAACTCCAATGTCTCTTCCAGATCTTTAGTAGCAAAGCAAATAAATGCTAATTAACAGCAAAAAAAGCAATTGAATAATTTCTACAAAAGTTTGAATTAAAAAGTAAGGTTGTTCCTTTGGGTGTTTTAACAGTAGTCAACACAGTCTTCCTCATCCCAGAGCCATTGTCATAGAAGACTGCAATCTGTCTGTGAAACTAAGGAATTTATCCCATTTATTATGTAATTTATCCTTTTTAAGAAATACTAAGGAAATGAATTGAAACAGTTTTGAGAGATACTGCAGTTCTTGTGTCAATTATATGTTTGGTAACTTCAGGAAAGAACTTGAAACCCGAGTTCCTTTAAATGGACCTGAATTTCAAGATGCTTTGTCAAAAGAAGTGGCTAAAGAGGAACAAAGGCATGAACAGTGTGTTAAAGAACTTCAGGAGAAAATTACTATGTTAAACCAGAAGTACAAAGAGTTAGAAGATGAATTTCGTTTAGCTTTAACTATTGAAGCAAAAAGGTTTAAAGAGGTAAGACTAAGAGAACATTTCATCTCAAAGTAGGTGGAGTTGTAGTTCTCTTAAATGTGTTGGTTTGGGGTTTGGTTTTTTTGTTTGTTTGTTTGTTTTGTGGGGTTTTTGATCCTTAAGGTCTTTGGTCCAAGGAGTCATCTAAAAATTCTGGTAGTAAGCTTTGAAATATCAATGATGAGAACATAGACACCAAATGCCAAGTCAGCACTCAAAAAACCCAGCATTTTTGTTCATAAGTAAAAGTTAATCAAAAGAAATTAGAAAAACTTCTATCTGGTCGTATTAATATCTTCTAAAAGATGTTGAGTTCCATTAGAATATATTCAATTATTGTAAAAACTCTTTGTGGTGCTTTGATAAGGTTATGGCTACATGTTTGCCAGTGTATTTAATAATAAAGTTCCCTATTGTTTAGCTTTTCAAAACTAAATTTTGGATATGCATTTTGAAATTTAAATTCAAAACTTGATTACTAAATTCCTTAGATAACTTATTTCTATGGCTAGTGTTCACATTATTTCATATGTTAAATGAAATAAGATTATAAATGCTTTACCTTCACTTAAACTTGTTTTTCTTCATTTTAAATCAGTTGGATATATGGAAGAAGGGAAAGAAAAGATTGGTTTTTTCACCCTTCAAATCTTTCCCTTGCAAGGAAAAAAAATAGAATTAATTTTAGGTTATACTTTCCAGATTTTAATGTTAATCTTAACAATGAGATTAAACCAAGACATTGTTTTCATTTCCCAAGCTATGGTTTTTCTGCTCTGCTTCCCATCTCCCCGTTAATTTTTTTTTTTTTTTTTTTTTTTTTTACAAATCTGTAGCTGAGCAGAACGAGTTTTTTGAGTTGAATTATTACCAACAAACTGGTAGAAAACCAATTTCAGGTATTCACTAATTTCACATACTGTTGATGAACTTCTGTTTCTTCCTTTATTTGAAATTCAAATGTCATTTGTGTGTATGTATACACACTTCTTCGAAACGTTAGCATTTTTCAAGTCTTATCTTATAAAACTTCAGGTAAAACAGGGTTTTGAAAATGTTGCTGCTGATCTAGTTGAACATAAACGAGCCCTGTCTGAGTCTGAACAAAAGGAAAAAGAGATGGCAAGTCTGATCCAAGACCTGACAAGTATTGTGAAAGAACAGAAAACAAAGATTGCAGAATTAACAAAATCAAATGAAGAAGCTACAGCAAACCTAAAGGTATTTGTTTCAAAACATTTAAACATGCATACATGTTTTTTTGGGTAATATTTTATCTATAAAAGTAATAATTTCATACAAGTTTGACTGACTGAAAGACACTCGTTGCCCGCTGCGCTGAAACAGAGTATTCCACATCAGCCTTTATTCTTGAATCTTGCACTTCTATTTCTCACTAACACTGCTTCCCATATAGCAAAATCTAGACCATTTGTGTCTTCAGAAGTGCACTTCTTGCCTTGTGAGCTCTAGCAGTTTGTATATCGTCAAGTGGTCACTCTAAACTGAGATTTTAAAACCTACATTCATAGCCCTCACCCTTTGTAAATTCACAGTAATTGGAATATGATTCTGCAGTGGTCCGTGTATGTGAAGTAAAAATGAAATTGAACAAATAATCAAGTGTAGTTATTAGCTTATTATCTGAGAGCTGCATAAAATTAGCAGTATTAGTCATTATCTACTAATTGTCTAATTTTAATGTTAAATACTGTGGGCTCAGTTGCTTTACCTTACACTACTGATCACCGTACGGTAACATGTTATAGTACTACATTGTCTGTAAATAATTCTTTAAAATCTTAGGAACCGAACTTTCAAACTGTTGTGTGATCCAGTCCATGTATGTATCCAGTCCATCTTTATGTTAAAACTTCTGTGTGGTACAACCCCTGCACAGCTGTTTCTGATCTCCTCTGTACGTGTTGCTGTTGGGGTGTCCAAACATTGTGCTGCAATATAGAATAGGATTCTGCAAGTCAGTGATGCTGCTAAAAACAAAATTTAAAAATAGCTATGTTAAACAGCTGCAATCTGTAAAACAAAGTAGCCCACATAACTGAAGATAAAACTTTTTCATAGGAAGTGGAAGTTCATCCCAGCTTCTGTCTGTTTTCTTTTGATTTGGTTTTTAATATCTTAACTTGACTTTGTTTCCCTTTTTTTGACTTGTGCATTTATAATTCTAAACAGGTGTTTATAATGGCATTGATAATTTAAGGTGGCTATTTAGAAATCAGCCTTACAGTTTTCTGGGATTGAAGTATGTCTATTTGAAGCAAACATTTGTGTTTCATTATTGGGAAGAGATGCAGATAGAACCTTGTATGCAAGCAGAATGTTTCTCAGTTAACTTAATTTGCTGTGTATAACTATTACTTTCCTAGCTGCTTAGTATTGATTTGGAATTCTGAGTACTTGTTTTAAAGGATCTTAATTGTCTTTTTTCAATTTTCATTCATACAGTGTCGAACAGAAGAACTTGAAACGCTGACTGAGGAGGACAAACAGAAGGCTGTTCAAGTTGAACTTCTGAAAAAGGAAAATGGAAAACTTATTTCTCAGATGACAGCCCAGGAATCTGTGATTGATGGGTTAAAAATGGAAAGAAAAATATGGGGGCAGGAGTTGGCACAACAGGGTAAAATAACTTTTTTTTTTTCATTTTGCAGAAAAAAAATGGTGGTGTTCAATGTCATACCTTTCAAATAAACACTCCAATATAGTTGTAATCATGACAGGGTCTCTGGATGCCTTGTTGATCTTATCCAGTTATAAAGATGATGTGCAAAACCAGATCTTCTGTAGTACACAGGCCATTATAGGAACTATAAGAGCAGCTGGGGTACTTGTTTGCAAATATCGTTTATGTATTTCCCCAAAATGTCAAAACACCATAATATTATACAAAGAACTTTTAAATATGAAACTAGGAAAACAAGGATTTGTAGATAGTGGTACATGATGTTACTTGTCTGTCAGATAAGTTTAATGTGAAAATTTCAGTATATATCTTAAAAAAAAATATAATAAATTGTTAAATACTGGGTGAAAAAAAGCTTGGGCTTTTTTCATTTTTCCCTTATTTGCGTGACTCAGCACCACCTTGTGGGTTCTTTGAGACTGGCTGGGTCTGTAAGAATTAGTGTTGACTTTTATCAGAGAAGTTTTCAAAGGGTAAAATACAGACCTTCAGTTCTACATTTCATCTTAAGTGTTACCTACCTACAGATTAAAGCCCTACAGTGTTTGCAGTGGGTAAAACGGTCAGTCATGTTACGTTTTTAAGGTGGTTCTTACCTTCACCTCCCCCCCCATCCCCACCCTGGACATGATACATCTTGGTCATCTGTGAAATGGGTGCTGTAGTGTGACTATCCTGTTTTATCTAGGAGCTCACCTTGCTCAAGATCGGGGAAAGCTGGAGGCAAAAATTGAAGTTTTAACGAATGAGATTGAGATGTTAAAAAAGCAAAAGGAACAGGACAGTGATACTATAAGAATTAAAAACAAAATAGTGGATGATCAGACAGAAACAATTAGGAGATTAAAAGAAGTAAGTGCCATGTCTGACAAGTTGTGTGCTTAGCTAAAATTAAGACTTGCAGTGAAAGTTATTGTAAAGGCTGTAATGAAATTTGGCTCTGCTCTCCTAGTTTACTAACTCAGAAAGCACAGTCAGGCTGCCAGTGGCAACTGATTTCACTGAGAGCAGAAGAGGGCCTTGTATTAACTTGATGTAGAGATGCTACTTCAGATCTCTCATTGAACCATATTTATATAAAGACCTTTTTCTTTGCCTTGCTTCAAGTTATTCTTGATAATGACTTTGAGAGAGGAAAACCAAGGACAGCATAATTCTTCCTGTTTGTTTAAAAGAAAAGGGGAAAAAAAAATAATTTAAAGTTTGTTTTAGGTTTATTTTACAATGCAAGTATTTTTTTGCTTGTTAAGTCTTGTAAATCAGTATTTTCACAGCAGAGCTACTATGTTTTATTCTATTAATTCCATTCATCTCACTTAGAGACTTAAGACTTTAGCTTATTCATCAGAGCAAAGTTTTTATAGCATGTTATGTCAGTTAAGGTTAGACGTGTTACTCATTAAACTATATAGCCACATAACAATGTGAGCTCAGTGATTTGTATATGTAGAATAAGTTGTTGTATTAGAGTTCTAAACTTTTTCTTGGTTTCAATTTCAGATTCATGTTTTCATGATTATTTTTTTTAATTCTGACTTCTTTCAGATGATGATTATTTAACTGGCTGTTGCTTTACTAAGTGTTTTTCATATAATACCTTTAGAAGAGTAAACTTTCACATGTCCCTCTGCTTTATTCCAGCATAGACTAAACAGATACTCTTAAAGGGTAACAATAAAGTTAAAATGAAGGGAGTTTGTGTTCTAAAATATTTATCTTCTAAAGGGCTTACAAGAAAAAGATAAACAAATCAGAAAACTGCAGGAAGAAAATCTGGAAGCTCGGAAATTTTTTCAAGTACAACTGGATGAAAAAGCTGCTGACTTTGAAGAGCTAATGGAAAAATTAGAAAGGCAAAATGAAAGAAAAGAGGAATTAAAGCAACTGCTAGAAGAAAAAGAAGTAGAACTTGATGACATTAAGAATGCACACAGGTGATACAAGTGGCAATAATTCTTTGGGATCATAATAATATGCAACACTGCTCTGAAGTTACTCTATGTTCAGAGAGTACTTCCTTGCTGTTAAAACCCACAGAAATGTGGAAAAATGGAAGCATGGAAAACTTTCTGCCCTCCTAAGAAGTAGTATCTACATTCATTGTAAATATGTGCATTTTATTTTCAGCACACTGAAAAAGAAGTGGCAAGGTAAAGGAGAGCTATTAAGCCAGCTGGAGGTGCAGGTTAAACAAATGAAGGAGAACTTTGATGTCAAAGAGAAGAAGCTGATTGAAGAGAGAAATAAAAGTCTTCAAACTCAGAGGTGAACACCTTCATAGCTTATTTTGTGACTGCTTGTATAGAGTTTCACTGTTAATATATATACAAAAATGTCTGATTATATGGTGAAAGAATGCATAATACTTTTAAGTACTTGGTGAGCCCAGTTGCTGCGAACTCTGTGTGCATAGAAGTAATTCTTGCTATACAGGTGACTTACTTTGAGGAACTAGCATTCAGTTATAGCATTCATCCTTGAAACTTCTTAGCTATGTTCCCATTTTCTTTGAAAATAATGGGAGCCTACACTCGTTCCTCCCTAGTATGCCCAATCCACCACAATGCTTTTGGCTTACCTCTGTGAGGAAACTCCATGTCATGCTTGCATGATAGGGACTCTTCTACATGCTGGCTGGAGTCATGCAGTAAAGATGCTTGTGCATGTGAGGCACAGTCTCACAGTCTGTAGCAGGGTTTCTTTGAGCATGAGCCTGTCAACCTTCTAGCTTGTGACCAGGGTGCGTGGGACAAACTGACTGCAAATCACAGGTCAAGCCAAGCAACTGTGGCTGGCATTTGGGCTTATGAGGAGAGGCCACAGTGCTTCACAAACATCTGTGTAGGAATATGAAAATACCTTGTGCACTGTGTAGGAAATTGAGGACAGATCCTCAATACTTATCACAACAATACTAATAAATATGTCAGTCTGTGACAGACTGTTTAGAAGTTACCTCTCATTCTCTTCCCATACAAGTAGCAACAGGTTTTTAATTGGTTTTATTTTTCCTCTTGTACTGTCAATTTTTTTGAGCAGTTAATAGTAAATATAAGATGATACTGAAACATAGTCATAACCCAGAAAATAGTCAGGGACTTGGATGATGCTTAGTTATTTCATATGCTTCTGGCATTATGGAGAAGTATGGTAGACTGCTGCCTGTCATGAGCTTAGATTGTTAGTGTGATTTTTTACCTTATTCTTTGGCCCCTTTGTCTTATTTTTCTTCCTTCCTCTCAATTATTCTTAAGAAAAGATTAGCTGGTTAATAAGACTGCATATTTATCTAGCAGTGATAATCACACTGTTACTGAAGGAATAAGCTAGTATGACTAAAGTATTTGGCTTTACACTTTTAAATTAAACACTTCGATTAATTATACTTTTGCTGTTATTTTAAGGGAGGTCATCTGATTAATAAATGAAAGAAAATATCTTGATGGTCAAGTTTGATTCAAAGAAACTCCAAACAACAAACAAAAAAACAAAAATCAGCCACCTCAAATAGTCAGTAGTACTAGGTTTTGGAATTGTTGGAAGATCAGTGGTGAAACTGAAATTTTGTCCCAAATAATTCTGTTTGCTCTCAAAATTGGTGTAAATTAATTGTATAGTGGAATAATTTACCTTGCTTTCTGTTGCTAGATAGTTTAGAATTATCCCCTAAAGGAGAATTTGCTTGAAGGAAATGCTTCACTACTGTGAAGCAAACATTTTTCTATTTCTGTGAGACACAGGCTTACAGGCTGTTTACAGAATCATGTAGTTCAGTCATTGACTTCTCAGGAAGCAAAAGCATAACAAGTAGATGTTTGAAAACAGGTGGAGTTCTTATCCACGTTGACAGTAACAAACCCGAATCTTCATATTCTTTGCTAGTGATTAAATGCTTCTGCTAAGAGGAATGCCAGAAACTTTAAACATGGTGCGTAAAACTAGAACACGTACTTGAGAAAACAGGACATCTTCTGATGCTAGATATTGAAATAATTGTCTTCATGTCTGTTATCAAAACCTTATCGAAGGCAGAACTGGGCAAAGCAAAATACTTGAGTTGTTTGCAGGAGTGTGATTTATTGTTTTTATCACTTTTTAGGATTGCTGTGGAAAAGCTTCATGAAATGGATGATGCTTTTAGAAAACAACTGGAGTCAATGTTGGCAGCTCATCAGGAAGAACTATTGCAGCTAGCAAATGAAAAGGAAAAACAAATTGAAGCAGCAAATGAAAAAGTAATGTTAATACTAAATTTGTTTACTGTATTTGCATTTTTCTTCTACAGCTGCTACAACAGTGGTGCTTGGAAGTCACGTGTCTGTATCTATCTGGCTAATCTCTGGACGAGAACAGCCCTGTTTGAGTACTCAATCTTTGCGCAGCAAGAAAATCTCTAGTGCTGTACCATCATGAGGTTCTGTATTCAAGCAAAGTTAAGTTGCATGCTACGTAGCTGTTATGAGTCGATAGCTAAACATTTCCTTATCTGTACAGGCAAGAATAATGATGATTGTGCCAGATAATCCATTTAACTCACCTATGCCAGTGTTAACAGTTACTCGTCCTGTCATATACTGCATTCTTCCTTAGTGTGACAACTGGTGCTTTTTCTGCATAGCAGGTATTTTGCGTTTTGATACATTACTTGCTATTTCCTAGCAAATTAATACTTTTTTTTAAAGCAAAATTCTGCTACTGCATCCAATGTCCAAAGTAGTGCATTGGTTATTTACCATAAGTGTATAACTCCTGCATTGCTTACCAGTGTTAAGAATTGCCAAGATTAGGTAGTTTTAGGTATATTACAGATCAGATAGAATTCTTATTTTTCCTTATGTGCTCTTTCAGGTTTATTATGTTGAAGAAGAAATGCGGCAGCTTCTGCAGGAAACAGCAAACAATAAAAAAGCCATGGAAAATAAAATAAGACGACTTACACATGCACTGAATGATATTCAACAAGATCTTTGAAGATTATTAATATGTACACTAAGAATGTGTATTACACAAACTTAAGCAAATTCATACACTACAACGCACTTTTCCTTGTTTTCTAGAGAATAAATTCTTTGTGATATATTTTGATGGTTCAGGAATCAGACATAGATATTTTTACATATATAACAGTTATTTTTAACCTTTGGTTATTTTTAACTTTTGTCAGAATGGGTCAAAACATATATAGATGAAATGCATCATCTGAAATTAGGAATTAGTATGTTTAATAAGAGAAAAGAAGGTTGGACCTTTGCTGCTAAGACAAGAGCTTGAAACTCTGCTTCACTGGCGTAAAGATTCTTGTAATGAGATCCAAGAATTTACCTGAAACTATGTTTAATCTGCCACTGCTGATGAAGAATGCATGACTGCTGCAACTTAGAGTGGCTTTTTTGGCCGTGTATTTTGGTTCGCTGAAGGAACAGGTTTCCTACTAGGCTTTTGAAAAATAGGAGATAATAAACTAACAGCTTCTTATGGAAGCTAATCATAAGCCTTATGTTAATATCATTTTTATACTTCTTTCATGATGGAGACTTTGCCATCTCCACATACTCGGGCATTTATTTCATTTGCTTGTTCTCAGAAGATTCTAAAATGTTATTGTACTATACCATGCTCTGAAGTGTTTAATGCTGTAGTAGTAAGTAAAATAGTAAGTAGTAAAATTAGTTATGTGGTACACCAGGTGGAGCTATTTCTTTCCACCTCGCAGGAGCTAAAGCATAGTCCTGTTGCTCCAACGAGATAGAAGCCACTAAGCCGACTTTACCATCAACTTGTTCAGAAGAACCCAGGCATAAGCACACTGATACAGTATAACTGTATACGCATTTTTGTGCCCAGCAGCCCAGTAAAAACGCTAGTGCCAGTAAAAGGCCCTGGCCTTTGGCTAACTGTGCAAGGGCCATTGGGCTTGTTATCAACTTGTTATGAGAACTTGCTGTGTGAACCAGAGCTTGATACCAGCTGCCTCTTGTTACGAAGAGCAGCTTAAGTGTGGGATGTAACAAAGGCCTTGAAAACATGGGCACAAGTTGAAAGCAGAAGCCACAGCAGCAAAAACAACTCGCTGATGGTCAGTGGCTGGTCCTTGAGAAAGCACAACCTTGAGAGCTGGGAACAGATTGCTTTTGCTTTAAGAAAGGAAGCAGCAGCAAAGCAAAATAAAAAAAAAACAGCCAACAACTGAATAAGGCACCTGCAGTGGCTGGGAAAACAACAGCCCCACCCCACTTGGCACAGTAACATTGCCTTGAGTTTGCACGGTCTTATAAAACGGCAAGCTCCCAAATTTGTGGGAGGAGAGAGACAGCAGACACCTGCTTCAGTGCTGGCTCCCTGCATCCAGAGTTCCTGCACCTGGCCCCTGAGACCAGCAAGGACTGGAGCTGTCAGCGCTAACGAGGAGGCATCTGCTCTGTGCCACTGTACACCCCCAGCTAAGGTAGGATATAGCTGTTAAGGACTGACTGCTTTGAATGTGTGCTAAGAGTTGATAATATGCAAAAATTCATGGTAATGGTTAGCAAGGTGTAAGAACCAACTCAGCACAATGGGGTTAATGAATGCCAGTCTAGTAAGTTTTGCTGTGAAGTTTGAAATTGGCCTAATCGATTGGTCTGCTGCCATCCCTCTTGATTCCCTGATACAAATATATCAGTTACCTAAACGCAGAAGAAAATGACTTTTCATTCTCACCTTGTGTTCTGCATGCTCCTGCTTCTTCAGAAGCCATGTTACGTGAGGAAATGCTCACCTGGAAAGCTGTTCTATAGTATTTAAATGGATACTACTGGTGCAGAAAGGCTGCACCACTTCAGAGTGCTTTTCTGTCATGTTGATCAAGTGTTTCCTTGGGCACTTCTTTTTTCTTGGCTTATTATTTGACCAAGCTACACTTTGGGTGAAGTAACTGAATACCTGGAATGCACCAGGAAGGTAAAAGAACTTACTCTTAACCCTGAGTCAATTTATTAATATCGGCTCAGAGCTTTTCCTCCAAAATTTTCTTTCTGAAACTATTTTCTGATTTCATTAATAGATATTTAAGTGATTTCTATCTTCGACATCTATAAAATAATAAAAATACGGTGTAGGTCAAAGCTGCGCCAGATTTACCTATTCGCACGGATAAATTTCAGCCTGACATTACTGAAAGGTATAAAATAAATAAAAAAGAAATGTGAACTCTGAGCTTGTCAAATGCAAGGCATGTTCTCCTGCATTAATGGCAATTTAAAACCGATTCCATTATTAGATTCTGTTTTGTTTTCACTTCCAGACAAGGTAATGGATCTGTTTAAATCAATACTGAATGTATAATCAGTCATGAAGTTCCTGCGTTACCCGAGACCAGGAGGGACGGACTTCAAGGACCTGTTTGCTCCTACGCATACATGTATTACCCTGAACGTGCTGTTGGCTGTGAAGGCATACAGCTCCTGGGTGACACGGCACATTCCGTGTAATGTCCTGCCTCGTGTGATGGGGTACCCGAGGGTGTTTTCCCCACAGCATTTCTTTCTTGAAGTGCATCTCTTGAATGCTTACGCTGTGTGGACTTCAAAGCTTCTCTAGTTCTGTCTGGTGGTAACTGAGGGAAAGAGGCGTACCTGAACGAGTACATTTGGACGCCAGCGCAAGGGCCCAGGAAAGCATCCTAAGCCCCCGGTGACTCTCGCCAGACCAGCAGCGTGTCCCGCGTCCCCCTGGGGCGCTGCGAGAACACCGTTTATAATTACTCTAAGTGGGTTTTTGTATCAAGTGCAAACGGCGAATCGAGAGACGAGGCGCTATCGCGTTGCGGGGCGCATCAGGCGCTCGGGCCGCTCGCCCGAGGCGGACCGCGGGCCTGCGCCGCCCGCCCCGGGGCAGCCCCAGCTAAAGCCGGGCCCGGCCCG